AGTAGTTAAACTTGCGGGGCTGTGTTTCTCTGTGGGTTACAGTGGCACAGTACTTAGTGGTGGAGAGTTGGCCAGAATATGCCAGGTAAACATAGCCCAAATCCCTGCTTTGTACTGAGGGCCTCCTGGCTCTGTGCCGGCCCAGCTGTGAAGTGGGTGCATGTCCTTGTTTCTGTCCGCAGTGACTAAAGGCACCCAGAGCCCTGCACCAACTTGCCCAGAACTAGGCTTGGAATCCTCTTGTCCTGATTCCAAATATCCTCTTTTTGGGGAAGGAGACTGGTTTTATTTTCTGCCCTCAGTAGGGGTCAGGTGGCTTACCTGGTGTTCCTAGGGCAAAAGGTCATGCCCTTCAGTTTAGGTTCAGATACCAATTTTCCTTCTCTGTGCTTTATTCTCAGGGACCAGGCTGACCATCCACGTGAGCCCTGGAGGGGGTTGAGGCGCCAGCACACCCTGGTGGCCACCCTGTTCCCTTCTGCTGTCTGTTGTGAATTCCCTGTCACCTGCCTGGCCTCCTGCCAGCCTCAGTCCCTCCACCCCATCACGCGTCCTCCTTGGCTTCCTTCCTCCGCAGAGTGGTGTCCTGTGGGGTGCGGAGCAGCCCTGTCCCCAGACGCTGCGTTCCGTGCCTCTGACCTTACACTGGTTGGCATAGGCCTGCAGCTGAAAGTCTTTTCTCTTTGCTGTTTGGAGCTTCTTGGTGTGGAGGCCTGTTTTGCCAGGTGTCTAATGTGGCCTTGGCGCTAAAGGGGCCTCTGTTTGCACACCAGTGGTTTCCTCTCAGCTCTTGTCTGGCTCAGTTGGCTGTATTCTGTGTCTTATTCCTGCTGGGCAGGTTTTTTTCCAGAGATATTTGAAGCCTCCTTTTGGGGGGCAGCTGAAGCTTCGCTCAGGCATTGCCTGCAAAGGCAGTGGATGGTGCCTTTCCCTGTGGCTGGTGATTTAGATCCCACCTTTGCTGCTGATAACAATATGCTGTCTGTCTCTACTTCAGGCTGATTCCCATGGTCTAAACCAGTGGTTCTCAACTTCCCTAATGCCACGACCCTTTAATACAGCTCCTCATGTTGTGGTGACCCCCAACCATAAAATTATTTTTGTTGCTACTTCATAACTGTAATGTTGCTACTGTTACGAATCGTAATGTAAATATCTGATATGCAGGATATATTTTCATTGTTACAAACTGAACATAATTAAAGCATAGTGATTAATCACAAAAACAATATGTAATTATATATGTGTTTTCCGATGGTCTTAGGCGACCCCTGTGAAATGGTCGTTCGACCCCCAAAGGGGGCACGACCCACAGGTTGAGAACCGCTGGTCAAGATACTGAACAAACCAACACCACATGGCCCTGCTGCTGCCCTTCCACACCTCCCCCATCCAGACTAGCCTGTGTGAGGCTCACACTCATCGTCTGTGCATCCGCAGTTTTGTGTTTACTGAGGAAATGCATTCAGTTGAAGGAATCGGACTGATTCCACTGTGAATGTTTTGTGCACAGGCTTTTGTGTGAATGAGTTTTCTCTTCTTTTGGATAAATTACCAGGGAGTGGCATGCTGGGTCCTGAGACCTCGGTAATGCTCTGTCCGTCTGCCATGTCCAGGGCCATCCGTCTGCCCTCTGGATGGCTCTGCGTGTGCAGCAGCTCCCTGTGCAGCACTCTCAGTCTCTCAGGTCCCACTCAGGACGTATCGCTCTGCTGGTTTAGACCCCTCTTTTCTTTGGTGGGAAGAATACAAAATGTATTGGGGGAATGCAAAATTGGGGGCGGGTATGTACACTTTCTGCTGCAAGGCAGCAGGAAGGGGGCCCAAAATGGGTTACCCTAGACCCCTTTTTGTCCATCCATTCATTTACTGATGGACATTTGGGTTGTTTCCAGAGTTTGGCTGTTGTGAACCTTTGTGTGTAAGTCTGTGCAGGGGTAGGTGAGAGTCACGCCCGCAGTGGAGTTGCTGGGCCTGTGATGAGTGTGGGTGAAGCACTGCAGACTGTCCTGAAGGGGGCGCAGCCCGCGGGAGCTCCAGTGCTTCACACCCTCATCCTCACTGACACATGCTCTTCTAGTGCACGTGCAATAGCGTCGTTTCGTTTCTCAGTGACCGATAAGGTCTCACATCTTTTTGTGGATAATTGAACTTGGGGCATGTTGTGATTTTTTTTTTTAATTAATAAATCTTTATTGTTCAGATTATTACAGATGTTCCCCTTTTTTTCCCCCATATCTCCCCTCCCCCTGGTTCCCATCCCACCCCATGCCCTTACCCCCTGCCATTGTCCTCATCCATAGGTGTAAGATTTTTGTGCAATCTCTTCCCGCCCCCCCATACCCCCTTTCCCCCAAGAATTGTTAGTCCACTCCCTTTCTATGCCCCTGCTTCTATTATATTCACCAGTTTATTCTGACTTAATTTTTAGGTTCACTTGTTGATAGGT